CTAAAGGGAGGGTTGCCTTTCGTGGAGGACTTTCTAAGGCAAACTGGCTCGTATACACGTTACACATGGGGAAAACCACGAAAACGCCCATGCAGCTAGCCCGTTCGCGGGATTCGAACCTCAGACCGAACTACCAGTGTTCAGCGTCTTTACCGCTCGGCCGCTGGTGGGCTTATAAACAGTAAAGAGAACTGGGCTTTACGAACTGCCAAACTAGAAACGCCAGCGTGTGTAAATTGTAATGTCTAAGACATAGTGTCGTGTAGAATCATTATTTCTTAGACGCTACAAATGCTGGCGTTTACAGTTTGACCTAAATTGTAGAGTTTAAGAAATCACATTAAACAAAAAAAAAAAAAAAAAAAAAAAAAAAAAAAAAAAAAAAAAAACTGTTCTTTGAATAGTGAAAACTTTCATGTAGATTACTGAATTAGTCTTGTTGAATCTTTACCGCCGAGAATTAATGTTGTGAATTGTGAACGTTTTGAATTTATTAAATGTAAACTTATAGACATGCCATTTTTTCTCTTGTGTCTGTATCTTACTTATTTTAGTTGAACACAATTATTAGTTTCCCTGAAGTGCTAAAATATTATTTATGTCTCAGACAGAATGAAGGGTTATACTAACTTCGGATACAAAATTCTGAATAAAAGAAATTTCGATTACTTGTACTGCATTACGGTATCATTCTGGCATTTTATTTGCAGAATTGACTTTTAAGTTACACAAAAGATCAATTATTTTCCTGATTTATCATTTTCAATTTGGCTAACAAGGGTTTGATAACAAAACTTTTTTCACATTTAATAGTTAAGGTGTACTAATATTTACGTTAGTATGAAATGATAAGATGCAACAAAAGCGAGAAATTTCTAACATGATTTTTTGAATTATGAATGTATAAAGACTAAAGACTGTTTCTCAGAATTTTTTAGAAATACTAATTACCAAATCAGTAGCTGTTTATTATAATTAGCCAAAATCGGCGTTTGTTTGCATGGGTTATTAGTCTCTAAACGCGATTTTGCGTCATCCACTATAAAAGACGAATCACGTTTCAAATTGTTAACAGCAAAATATTATCGCCCTGTTATTTTTAAAGAAATTAAATAATGAAATATCTGCATATACATACGTGTCTCGAAATGTCTTGTATGTCCTCAACTGAAAAAGCTGCAGCTGGAGGAAAGAATTTTGAATTTCGAATTTTACATTTCATATTTTGTAACATTTTAATGAAATTTTGATTAACAAACTCGACGATTTCAAAGCTATCAGTGGGAACACTGTAAGGAATAAAACATTTTTTATCTCCAGCGCGCAAGACTGCATATAATAAATTCTAAATAGATATATGCCATTTTTAACTATTTTGCGATTTTGCTGATGAACTGAATTTTATATGTCGTCAGTCCGAAGAACGAGATATTTAATAAATATAATTAACACACAAAACATTAATAATAATAAAAAAAAAGTTTTGCAAGCCGTTTTACTAAGAAAACTACACACTGGTATAATGAACTAAAAAAAATAAGAAAGAAGTATGTCAAAACTTAACACTGGATCAGATGTTATAATCATATATTGATTCATATACTGCTCGTATAATAATCTTATACTGATCAGTGAGTGCAATAGCAGACTGTTAAACTACGAACTCATCAAGAGCATAAAATCTTTAAGAAATAGTTTCGGGCAATGGTTAAATCTGAACTCTTTCAGAGTTTCTAATATTTTTATTAGTTTTGTTCTGTTTGTTTATTTCATAAAACAATTTTATCTTAGCATTGAACAGTAATTTTTTACTACTAATGCTTTTAGGATGTCATAAAAGTGAAGTATTAAATGTTGCAATGTTCCGTAGATATTTCAGAAATACTGGCAAGGCTGGGACAGTTTTATGTTTCAATTTAGAAAAGTATTAAATCGGTGGTATCCAAATTAATCTTATGAAATAGATTTATGCAGAATTTATGTATTGTTATAAAATTCACGACACATTTCTGTGAAAAAATAGTGTTTTTATATATGTACGTTAATTTAGAATAATCCAGAACCTCATTAAATATGAGCTCACCAAAATGAAACATGTAAAATCTCCTTATTCTGCTCTGTATGGTGGTTGAGAAGACTTAAATTGTATGAAATCAAAATGTCCTAACGTGGCTTAGAAGATATGAGTTTAGAATGATTACTAAATTATTTGCCGGAGAAAAATAACATGCGCCTTTTCTTAGAAATGTTGCCACCTAATGTTTAATTTCATTTTCGTTATTTAATGAGATCCGCCTTATAATATAACATACCAGCAAAATGGCAGAAAGACAAACCAAAATAAAAATTACGCTGCTGCATGGATCCCATATTAAAAAAACAAAATTCTCTTCTGATGCTTTTATTTTGCTTTCATTTGAGGGAATAAAATATTAAAAAGGATATTTCGATATTCAAATCAAATATGTACCGGGAATCTGCTTTCAGGAATCTGTACGTTGAATTTTTTATGGAGATGCGGCAATGAAGTAAATGTATCTTATCAAAATAGAGCGAATTCTTCTAAAATCCGCTCTGCATTATTTAATCTTTATTAGAGTAAATAAGAATTTGGATATATATGCAATTTTGACAAAAATATATGTATGAAAAAGATATTATTTTAAACGCATATGCGAGCATGCGACATATTTTATTTTTTGTTTAATTTAGAAGTCTCAGAATTTGACCTTTCTTAACTAAATATATTGTCTAATATATTACTATGCCTTATTGGTAAGATACTTGCAATTTCGCTTTTTTTTTCTTTTTAATTTAAGATAAAATGCCCAAAATGGCATCGTCCTTACATTTGGCAGTTGAAACTTATAGTTCAACATATTAGAGATGGCAGATTTTATACTTTAAACAGTCGCATTGGGGATTGAATACTATAAGCTAAATTTTTATCTTTATACAAGTATTTCTTTTAAAAGCAATGTTAGGCCAATTATATGCGCTTACTATTCAAATAAAAATGCATCTTGTACTTAAGTTATTTAAATATTTACATCTATTACTTAATTTTTAGTCCAAAGGGATTTGAATCCCGAAGGACTATTAGTTTCGTTTTGGCATTTTGCGTCGGACTCATAAATGTGGGTTCACTTTTCAAACTGTTGCCACAAAATGTTAGAGTCCTGCATTATATTTGAAGAAATTAAATAATGAAAAATCTGCATAAATGTATGTATATTTCTCGTATTGTGATAAAACAACGGTACATAGAGTCATCGAATTTTGAATAACGTAATCCTCCAACGAATATGAGCATGTGGAAGACCAAATTTGAAATTTGAAATTTGTTTTATGATCGATTTCCTATTTTTTAAAACTTTGACGAATTTTTGATTAACAAACTCAAGGATTTCAAAGCGAGCAATGTCAACGTTGTGCAGAAAAAAACATTTTTATCTCCAGCGCGTGAGTCTCTGTATGGGAAATTCTAAAGATATGCTCATTTTAAAACTATTTTGCGATATTGCTGTTGCACTGGATCTTATGGTTTAAGTGCGAGGAACATGATATTTAATAAAGAAAGGTAACACACAAAATGTTAAAAAAAACGCCCCTTTGGACGTAATTTAAAATCTGAAAACATTTCAGATTTTTTTTTTTTTTTTTTTTTTTTTTTTTTTAGTCCAAAGGTTTTGAATCCCGAAGGACTATTAGTTTCGTTTTGGCATTTTGCGTCGGACTCATAAATGTCGGTTCACTTTTCAAACTGTTGCCATAAAATGTTAGAGTCCTGCATTATATTTGAAGAAATTAAATAATGAAAAATCTGCATAAATGTATGTATATTTCTCGTATTGTGATAAAACAACGGTACATAGAGTCATCGAATTTTGAATAACGTAATCCTCCAACGAATATGAGCATGTGGAAGACCAAATTTGAAATTTGAAATTTGTTTTATGATCGATTTCCTATTTTTTAAAACTTTGACGAATTTTTGATTAACAAACTCAAGGATTTCAAAGCGAGCAATGGCAACGTTGTGCAGAAAAAACATTTTATCTCTAGCGCGTGAGTCTCTGTATCGGAAATTCTAAAGATATGCTCGTTTTAAAACTATTTTGCGATATTGCTGTTGCACTCGATCTTATGGTTTAAGTGCGAGGAACATGATATTTAATAAAGAAAGGTAACACACAAAATGTTAAAAAACGCCCCTTTGGACGTAATTTAAAATCTGAAACATTTCAGTTTTTTTTTTTTTTTTTTTTTTTAAGATTTATTTATTTTTAGCCCAAAAGGGGCTATTAGGCTGGAAATGGGACTTTGTATCGACTCACTATAAATGTGTCATTTCCCTTTTGACTCAGTTTATTGACATTCGGCGAATTATAAGAGTCTTTCAAAATCTAATCTTTATCTTTCAAATTGAATCTATCTGTTTTGGATTAAACTAAGTTATTTGAAAGCAATAGATGCAGTTCTTAAAATTTTCGTTTCTTAATTTTCAATTGAAATGATTTAAATAATAAAAATGCATTTAATTCGCGACTCATCAAATTTAAAATTTTCAGAATTTTCATAGAATGATGCTGTATATTTTTTTAATTATTTATTTCACATTTTGTAAAATTTTAATGAACTTTTGATTAACAAACTCAATGATTTAAAAGCGAGCATTAGAAATTTTGTGCTGAATAAAACATTCTTATCTTCAGCGCAAGAGACCGTCTATCGGAAATTCTAAAGGTACGCTGTTTTTAAATATTTTGTAATTTTATTGCTTGAATGAATTTTATGTGGAGTAAGTGGGAAGAGGGTGATATTTAAAAAATAGTGCCATCACACAAAATGTTAACAATAAAAAGACAAAAAAGGTTTCGTAAACTATCTCACTAAGGAAGTATTGACATAATGAACTGGGAAAAGATTGAAAAAAAGCATACCAACAATTTGCACAGACATTAGGTTATTTCGAAGCAAGAGAGATGAAAAATAAACAGTGCCCTCGCAGGGACTCGAACCCCGGATCTCTCGAATAGGCGTCGAGCGAGCTTACCACTACATCACGAGGGCATGCTAAGAAGGCGGGAGAAATACCTTATATTCTCCCCCCTTTAAAAATGGACTGGGAATTAGGGGATCCAAATCCTGGTTGTGGAGAATCATCATTCACCACGTTTTTTTTTTAGTTTCGGCGCCACTGTGGAGTCATTAGGATTTTTGTTTGTTTTTGGAAACAGAAGAGAGATGAAAATTGAGCTGTGCCCTCGTCAGGACTCGAACCACGAACCTCTCGAATACTCGTCTAGTGTGAGGACGACTACACCACGAATGCATGCTAAGAAGACGGGAGAATATATAGCTTAACACTGCATCGGGGATTCTAAACATATGTTGCTTTTAAAATTTCTGTGATTTAACCTGTACACGGCTTAAGTGAGAGTAAAACGATGTTTAAAAATAAAGCTGAAAAGAAAAAAAGAAGGAGCGAGTGCAACAGCAGACTAGTAAACTGCGAACTGAGCGAGAGCACAAGAAAGCTTAACACCTTAGACGGCCGTTAAATTATGAAAGCGAATGAAAATAAACTCAAATATTCTAGGAAGTAAATATGCTTATGGATATTGTTACTTTTACATTAGATGTTAATTTAAATCATAGGAATTTGCGCGGAAAAGGAGGCAGCTGTTTCATAAAGTCTCGTATACGTTAATACTTACGAGTCTGAAATCACTTGCAAGTGGCAAAAATTTAGCATTATTACTAGCATCTGAATCTACTCTAAAACAGAAAACTACACACGCAGAACCCGAATGACATTATTCCTGAGAATGTAAGTTGAAGAAGTAATAAACATGACTAGCTTTTAATTACTGTTGTCTTATCAGCCACAGAAAGATACACACGGATGAACATTAATAACAGATTGGTTAAATTTTATACGGAGATGCGTATCGGTTTTAAGCCCTGTCGGTGAATATTCAGTGATGGTATGCGGGAGACGCTAGTTGCTCGGGAAGGTTATTCAAGTTCGAACCGGCTGAAAGTATATGGGAAGTCGATGATACAAGTAGTCATTACTTGAGATAAAGATTAGTAACTAAGAAGATGATTAGCAATTAATTCTGAAAAATTCCTGTATGAATGGCGATTTCAGTTGGATAAAGGCTGCACTGATGGTTAACAGACAACTGAATTCTAACTTATCGGAGTTATCCTCTTTAGGTGACAGGATAACTATCCTATTTACCATCAAACATTATTATTTCAGCCAAGGTTTCACCCTGGCGAAAGAGCTGCTGTACGGGTGCTTTTTTTTTTTTTTTTTTTTTTTTTTTCATCTGTAACTGAAATACTAACCGGTTACGTTAGAAAGCCCTCTTTGAGGACATTCACTGTTTTAATCCTAATGTGCTTCATCATGATCAACTAAACAAAATATTTCGATAAAAAGAAATATTTTAAATATATAACCCTTGAATAAGCGAATTGAATATGTCAAGGACGCATATTTTATTCCCAATTATACGTATAATAGAATTATAATTTTTCAAGTGAGAATTAACGTATTCAAAATATTATGTTGCATTGACAAGTCTTAGTTTGACATTTTCACTAAAATAAGTAGCATATTAATTATCTATACACTAGCTCCAGAAATTAATCAAATCTATTCTGCAGTTATTAATGCAACTCCATTTATAAGACCGTTTTTCCATGAAGCAATGGAATTAATTATAAACGTAGGTTTCTCTGAATAAACGATAAATTATTATGACTGTGCTCATTAAATACCCATTGTTGGTATGCGCAAAAAAAAATCTGCAACGAACTTATTCGATTTATGTCACTGGAATTTTCCAAAGGAAGGATTTGTTTCAAATGAAACGTGAGTGAAATTAGCTTCATTTACATTACATATTATTAGTATTTAGATCAGTTATAGAAGTTGCAAATGTGTGAATCAATAAATTACTGTATTATGAAGACATAAAATATCAAAGATTGTAGGTGTGTCTTTTTAAATCTTTATAGGATTTTTCATTTATGAAATATGTAGTAGAATAGCGATCAGCAATTTATCGGGTAATGATAAATGCATATACAGTGGTGGCCAAAATTGTGGACACTTTTGGAAATTTTTATGTTTTTGAACTTTGTATGCTTATAGAAAACGTTACGTTTCACAAAATTCAAACTTGTATATATCATTTTAAACATAATTTATTATTGAATTCAATACAAAGCACAAAATTCAATTATTTGCAATACAAAAAAGTTATATGTACTTTAATATAAATAAAAAACACAGTCATAAAGTGGTTTGTAATGTCTAGCTTTCCTGGGCAATCACTCTTCTTGTTCTGAGAACCAATCAAATGTTAGTAACTGCCAGTAGAAGCTGACATCATGTTTACACTTGACACAATTCATTATTTTGCTTTGTTCTGTAGAAGGAGGACCTGTTTCTTATACACTGCAATTACAAGTAGGAATTTTTGTAAAAATTTTTAATATTTAGTCAAGAAGCAATGACATCAAATAAAAGAGTAGATTGGACACCTAGAAAGAGATGTAATATTATTGTGTTACGAGAAAGCGGTCTTTCCTATGCTGAAATTGCAAGCCAGGTGGGTGGTTCAGTGACTACATCTGGAGTCTGAAAGTTTTGTTTATAATATCAGGAGACAAATTCAATAAAAACAAAGAAAGAAAAGGCCGAGAAACGTGCACCACATCTATTGATGACAGAAGAATAAAAAAACTATGTCTCCAAGATAAAAAAATGCCATCAGCGGCCATCAGAAGTGATTTGAATGATGCTGGTGTTTCTGTCAGTTCTAGAACAATCAGGAGAAGATTAACAGATGTTGGACTGAGAGGTAGAATACCACGAAATAAAGCCTTATCTAAATTTTCAGCAACGAAACCAAAGACTACAGTGGGCAAAGGAACACATTAATTGGACAGATGATCAGTGGTCACAAGTTATATGGAGTGATAAAACTAAGATATCGTTATTCGGTAGTGATGGGCAAAAATATGTAAGACGTAGAATAGGAGAACAGCTAAATCCTGACTGCATTCAAGCAACTGTGAAGAACCCAGTTAGTGTTATGATTTGATCATGCATGTCAGCAGATGCTATTGGTCGCCTTCATGTCATCGATGGGACACTGAATGCCAGAAAATACATTGACACTATTCTAGAACCAAAACTTCTACCTTCCATCAGAGATCTCTTTCCCAACAATGCTTCGTTTCATTTTCAGCAGGATTCTGCTCCCTGCCACACGGCCAAAATATCGAAAGAGTGGTTTCGTACAAAGAGCATTAAATTGTTGTCATGGCCAGGAAACAGTCCTGACCTCAATCCTATCGAAATTTGTGGCACCGTTTGAAAACTCTTGTCTGAATGAGGCGCCCATCAAATAAAAGGGAACTAATTGAGGCTATAATTGTTTCCTGGCATCATGTAATAACGAAAGAAGAGCTTAAAACTCTTGTCAGCTCAATGAAACGTCTATGTGAAGCTGTAATCAAAAATAAAAGGTACCCTACTAAATACTGATAACTCACTGCAATCATCACTATCTAATGTATATCGATAACTATTATCGTTTAACTTTTTTTATTGCAAATAATTGAATTTTGTGTTTTGTATTGAATTCAGTAATAAATTCTCTTTAAAATGATATATACAAGTTTGCATTTTGTGAAACGTAGCGTTTTCTATAAGCATACAAAGTTCAAAAACATAAAAATTTCCAAAAGTGTCCTTAATTTTGGCCACCACTGTAATAACCCCAACAATGACTGTCAAGAATTAAAATAGAAATAATAAAAATAGAAAACAATGATAAAAGTAGAAACCATGTTAAACGATAACTAATATTTATCTCACAAATTCTTAATCAATACTACTGTAAAAATCAATTATACTACAGAATTTTCTGACTAATATTAAGGGAAAATATTAAGGAAAAATATTGCTAATATGATCAGTCACAATAGACAGTTTTATCGATAATATATTTTACTGAATAACAGTATTCACTCTGCTGTCCTTAAAATCACCGACGACTTAGAAAATAGGGCAAATACGCATTGCTGAAAAAGGCAGCTGCAAATAAATTTACTGCAATCACATCCAGGGGAATAATTTGGATAAGATGTCGTTCATCACAACGTTTACGTTTCCCTAAGAGTAGATTTCTAGCAAGGGGATTTCTTTTTATACTATAAAAAATTCCAATACTTTATAAGGTTTACACTAGTTAACTATAACTATCACAACAAGCAAATTAATATTTTGATACTGAAATTTTGAATGATATACGAGACGGTTTCTGTGATCTAAAGCATCTCACTGCTGAATTTAAGCTTTATCATTCTGCCAATTAGGTAACTGTAGTCACAGCCACTCTGTCATTACCAGAAAAATACTCTGTCATTACCAGTCATTACCTGTTACGTAACAAACACACGCACTCTGTAACAAATATACACATTCTACTCTTAATATACACCAGAAAGGATGCGTAAAAGAACGGAAGTTTGAAGTAGCTAATAATATGCACTAGGAATCTACATAATAGGAAATAAACTTGCAGGACTATAAAATTTAATACATCATGCTTCATCTGTTGTTGGATTAAAAGTGATGAAAAAGAAACATCTGCCTCCGCGAAAGCAAACGAGAAAAATTCATGAATGTTCGAGTTAAATGGTAGGATACGATTCTATGGCCAGATAGGTATAGGTATATATAGATAGTATTTTTTGTCTCTTGATTGTATATATATATAGAATCAAGAGCTAAAAACAAAGATTAATTAGATCATGAAAGAGACGAATTTCCAGTAACAAATATTCAATAAAATTAATACCTCCTGTATATGTATAAAATTGATGAAAATTTATTGATCATTTTCAATTAACAGCCAAAATTTGTTTAACAGATCCACGTTCCTGAATTAAAGCTAGATGATTATAAATTTTTGAAAAATTCAAAATAAAAATAAAAAGGAAATGCCAGTTAAGCATATTTATTTATAATAATAAAAGAACCT